ATTTATGAAAAAACTAATGTAAACTGATGAAAAATTTATGAAAAACTGATGTAAACTGATGAAAACTGACGTAACCGGATTTCACATACAAAGAATACATATGGAAATTGCACTGCAAATCGCAAGAAATCGCTGAAAATCTTTACAGGTTGCAATAAAGTCTTCAGAAATCGCACACTGAAATCACGTGATCTAAATCGCAGCGGTATGACCGGTGACTAAGAGCCCATTCACACTTGTGCGACTTGTCATGCCACTTTGGGGTCCAAAGTCGCATGATAAGTCACACCCCATGTTTCCCAATGAGGACCATTCATATCTGTGCGACTTCAAGTCGCAAACGACTTGAAAGTAGTTCCTGCACTGCTTTGGTCTGACCTTGAGGCCCTAGACTTCCAAAGTCGACACCTGAACGATATACATGTGACTTGGGTGCGCCTTTGAAGAGCACAAACAATCATCCTCGGTCAAAGCCAAAATCACACTCAAGTCGCTCTGTAAAAGTCGCAATGAAAATCGCACGATTTTGAAGTTGCTTAAGTGATGAATGGAGCAGGGAGTAGAAATAGACACACCAGAACCGGGTCATCTTGAGGGGGCGGCATCAGATCATTTCCTTTTTTTTATTGGTCAGTCGGGCGTGTCTCCTGGTGCTCATAGATTTGGGTTGGATCAGGAAGCAGTTATGTCTTCATGCTGCCGGGTTTGAAGAGGTCTAAAAAAGAACCCATTATTGGTCCAATCAGCAGAGACCCCCAATGAAATGTAAAAAAATGGATGTAACGGATGAAAAACTGAAGTAAACGGAATAAAACACTGATGTAAACTGATGAAAAACGGATGAAAAACTGATGTAAACAGACAAAAATGGATATAAACGGATGAAAAACGGATGAAAAACTGAAGTAAACGGATGAAAACCGGATGTAAACTGATGAAAAACTGATATCAACAGATGTAAACATGATGAAAAACTGAAGTAAACGGATGAAAAACTGATGAAAAACAGATGTAAACTGATGAAAAACGGATGTAAACTGATTGAAAAATGTATGAAAAACTGATGTAAACAGATGAAAAACGGATATAAACTGATGAACAACTGATTAAAAAAAACAGATGTAAACTGATGAAAAACGGATATAAGCTGATGAAAAACAGATGTAAACTGATGAAAAATGGATGTAAACAGATGAAAAACAGTTGATAAAAAACTTAGTAAAACAGATGTAAACTGATGAAAAATGATATCAACGGATGTAAACAGATGAAAAATGAAGTAAACGGATGAAAAACTGATGAAAAAACAGATGTAAACTGATGAAAAACGGATGTAAACTGATGAAAAATGTATGAAAAACTGATGTAAACAGATGAAAAACGGATATAAACTGATGAACAACTGATTAAAAAAAACAGATGTAAACTGATGAAAAAGGATATAAACTGATGAAAAACAGATGTAAACTGATGAAAATGGACGTGAAAAACTTACGTAAACAGATGTAAAACTGATGAAAAAACTGATATCAAACAGATGTAAACAGATGAAAAACTGAAGTAAACGGATGAAAAATTGATGAAAAACTGACGTAAACAAATGAAAATTTGATATAAACTGATGAAAATCGGATGTAAACTGATGAAAAATTTATGAAAAACTGATATAAGCAAATGAAAAAACTGATATAAACTGATGAAAAAACTGAAGTAAACTGATGAAAAACAGATGTAAACTGATGAAAAAGTTATGAAAAAACTAACGTAAACAGATGTAAACTGATAAAAAAAAATGGATGTAAAAACTGATGAAAAACGGATGAAAAACTGACGGAAATGGATGAAAAACTGATATGAACAGATGTAAACAGATGAAAAACTAATGAAAAACAGATGTAAATTGATGAAAAATGGATGAAACCTGATGAAAAACGGATGAACAAACTGATAAAAAACAGATGTAAAACTGATGAAAAATTTCTGTAAAAACTGATATAAACAAATGAAAAACTGATGTAAACTGATGAAAAAATTTCTGTAAAACTGATATAAACAAATTGAAAAATGAAAAACTGATGTAAACTGATGAAAAATTGATAAAAACTGACGTAAAAACAGATTAAAAAATGGATGTAAACTGATGAAAACCGGATGAAAAACTGACGTAAGGATTTTTTTGGTTGAACCTTCTGAGCTAATTATTCCTTCTTGGACCCAAACTACTACACTATAAAGGTGCTCCCACCTCCCTCATTTTCTTTTCCAATGGACACCCCAGAGACTTCCGGTCACCCCATTGGGCTCAAACCTCTTGGACCTCCGTGTGACCTCCACATTCTAAATCTCATTTCTCAGTCACGGCTGGTTTTGGGACAGTCTACATGGAGGTTTTCGGTAGCAGTTATAGAACATTAATAAACACGAAATGTGATGGCTGCAGCAGACAGTTGTTTTGGGTGGTATGAAGGATAGGAAAATTGGGAATAGGTCTAGGTCAGTTGGGTACCCTTGGCTTTGCCTACTTGTATTCTGCTTAGATGTGACATGATAAGAGAACTATTGTTGGGTGCCAAAACCCGGGGGCAGAGGCTTAAAAAGACTCTGCTTGACCCAAGATGGTCACCAGGGTCACCTGGATCCAGCGCTTCCATTGCTCCAGGGGACTGAGAAGACCATAGAGAAAACCCAATTTCTTCCAAGTTGCAATGCTGCTATGGATGCGCACCACACTTCAGTGGAGGCTGCACCTACCTACAACTAGACGAATCGGAGCCGACACACCAGAGATCTCTTTCTTCTAAGTGTCCTTTTATTGAACCATCCATAATGTAGATGCTTCCATGATGTCCCTGCCCAAGGATCACCTCGTCCATAACACGTTTCACCAAGATGGCTTGGTCGCAAGTGTGGTCCTTCTCATCAAGTCATTAAAGGTAAGGTGATCCTTGCCGACGGTCATCATGGATGGTTCAGTTAGGAACACCTAGACCAGCCTTTTTCAACCCTTGAAATAACTTTTTGGTCTCGGGAAACCCTGATAAGAATTATTATAGATACATCTCATGACACGATAATGTGGTGGACGGTGAGAAGAATGGTCCTTACACTTGTAGTTGTTGGGAGGATTTACGTCCTTACAGATAGCTGAAAAGATCAATGGTGTCAGTAGGAATTTACAGTATCTGAGAGCTGGAAAACTGCTCATGGAATCCCTAGCAACCATCCATAATGTAGATGCTTCCATCCTTGCCCACGGTCATCATGGATGGTTCAATTAGGAACACCTAGACCAGCCTTTCTCAACCCTTGAAACAAGGTTCCGGTCTCGGAGAACCCCTGATAAGAATTACTATAGATACATCTCATGACGCGATAATGTGGTGGACGGTGAGAAGAATGATCCTTACACTTGTAGTCTTTGGATTTACGTCCTTACAGATAGCTAAAAAGATCAATGGTGTCAGTGAGGGAACTTATCTAAGAGGTGGAAATTGCTCATGGAATCCCTAGCAACCATCCATAATGTAGATGCTTCCATGATGTCCCTGCTCAAGGATCACCTCGTCCTAACACGTTTCACCAAGATGGATTGGTCGCAAGTGTGGTCCTTCTGGTCAAGTCATTAAAGATAAGGTGATCCTTGCCCACGGTCATCATGGATGGTTCAATTAAGAACACCTGGACCAGCCTTTCTCAACCCTTGAAATAACTTTCCGGTCTTGGGGAACCCCTGATAAGAATTACGATAGATACAACTCGTGACACGATAATGTGGTGGGAAGAATGTTCCTTACACTTGTAGTCATTGGGAGGATTTACGCCCTTACAGATAGCTAAAAAGATCAATGGTGTCAGTAGGAACTTATCTGAGAGGTGGAAATTGCTCATAGAATCCCTAGCAACCATCCATAATGTAGATGCTTCCATGATGTCCCTGCCCAAGGATCACCTCGTCCTAACACGTTTCACCAAGATGGAGTGATCGCAAGTGCGGTCCTTCTGATCAAGTCATTAAAGGCAAGGTGATCCTTGCCCACGGTCATCATGGATGGTTCAATTAGGAACACCTAGACCAGCCTTTCTCAACCCTTGAAACAAGGTTCCGGTCTCAGAGAACCCCTGATAAGAATTATTATAGATACAACTCATGACACGATAATGTGGGTGACTTGTAGTCATTGGGAGGATTTACGTCCTTACAGATAGCTAAAAAGATCAATGGTGTCAGTAGGAGCTTGCTAAAGGAATCCCTAGCAACCTCTGGAGGAACCCTGGTTGAGAAAACCTTGATTTAGAAGGAAGAGATCTCTGGTGGCTCCTGTTCATCTGTATTTTTGGACAACAAGCGGGCCTTTTCGAGCCATAGACACCCATGTCTGGAACGGTGCAGTATTTGTGGAGGTTTGAAGGAGAACCGGGGGACCGTTTTTTTTGTGTGTGAAGAGCTCAGGCAATGTTCTTACCACGGTGGTCCTCCTTACGATGCGCACATTCCAAGAATTTTTAAAGAACAGACAAACTGGAAAGCGAACTCCCTCATGTTTGTATCAATCAAAAGACATTAATACAAGTGATGGCATTTCCGCCACGTCAATAAATATGTCCATAAACAAATACATAAATTCCCACCAGCCTCCCCTCTCGTCAGACCAACTTTGCGCTCCCTCTCGTCACCACCACCCCTCCCACCCGAGCTTCGCCCCGTCATCCCTTTAAATGCATTAGCTGGAATTAAAAAAAAAAAAAAAAAAAGGAGACATCCAAGAAATTCTCACGCACCCCTCCCCCTCCCTCCCGCCGAGTCCTTCTTTCACCAATTGTATCTTTAGAAAAAGTAACTTTAAAAAAAAAAAAGCTATGGTCTTTCAACTCTAGGTCTTCTTGACTGTTACGATGGTCCAATTTATGAAATCCTTCTTGATCATGCCCGCTTCGTCACGTAAATCCATAATATTTCCCAATCGCTGAGGTTGGCGTGACGTTGGGATGGGGTTTCCCTCTTACATTACGCAGTAAGGCTCCCTAGGTAGCAAGGCTTTCGTCCTCCAAAAGGGGATGTGGAGCTGAAGGCAGCTCTTCAGGTCTTTGTTGAGTAGGAAACACATGATAGGGTTCACCCCAGCCTGAGTAAAAGTCATCCACACCGCGGTGGACAAGTAGCGATGAGGGATGCTACAGGTTTTGACAAACACCCTCCAGTAACAGGCCACGATATAGGGTGACCAAAGCACCAAGAAGCTGAGGGTAATCCGTAAAACATCCGCCCCAACCTTTTCTCGCTTTTTAAACTCATCCATCCCCAAGAGACGCCTGTTGGCAGTATGGGTGTTCTGACGTATACCCAGCAAAGTGGGCGGCATCGGCCCCCTTCCAAATCCAGCAATCCAGTTGGCAGCAGCCTGCCCTGTAGCTCCAGGTCCGTGGAATGTCCAGTTCTGGCTGATGGCCGGAACCATCTGCACCGGCTTCATTTTGCGGTGGCGGTACTCGAAGAGGAGTAGTTTGGCGTAGACAATGTGAGTGGCCACGATGAGCACCGCCAACATGAGCATAAATCCGAGGGTATCGTTGGCTTTGAAGTAGTAGCGATGTTCAAAGATGCATTGGTCCTCCTCGCGGATGAATTTGTAAGTCCCCACATCGAAGACCGGCGGGAAGGCCATGGCGACCGAAAGTGTCCAGACCATGCAGATGACCGCGATGCACGTCCACAGCGTCATCCTCTTGGAGTAGAATCGGTGGTGGGCGATGGCCATGTAGCGAGTCACACTGATACAGAAGAGCATGAATGAGGCATGAAAGCAAAACAGGACGGCCATGAAGGCCACCACTTTGCAGCTCAGGAGGCTGTAGGCCCAGGCCGAGCCGTTGCGGATGGAAAGCAGGACAAATGGGAAACAGGCAGATGATCTGACGGCATCGGCAAGACAGAGGTCCAACAGAAAATAGTAAGGGGCCTTGTGCAAGGAGCGGTCCTTCAACACGAGGAGGGAAACCAGTAGGTTGCCCGCCAAGCTGGCACAGATGATGAAACCCAGAAGAACCAGCTTGAGGTGGGTAGAGATGGCTGTTGACTGGGTTAGAGAGCCAGACAGCTCCTCCGACTCACTGCCATTAGCCATGTTGGAGGCTGGCTCCAACTAGCCTTTGGTCAGCGGCCCCTTCTCCTTCTCTGCTGCTCCATATCCGAGAACGGTGGGTTTCGGGAGGGCCGGGGGTGAGGGCTCGCCAAGGGGATGAGATGGAATCAAAGGGGAACGGGAGAAAATGAGAAGAAACAGGCAAGGGTTGTGTGGGAAGACCAAACTATGAGAATGACTGTGCAGCACATGGGTGATCAGCGACAGAATGGTGGAGGAGAAAATACGGGAGTGAGAAAGGAAAAAAAAAAAAAAAAAAAGAAAACAGGTTATTATTTAATCATCGACACGTCTAAAAAAATCCCAAAAAACAGAGGTTATTATTTAATCAACACATCTAAAAAAAACCCAAAAAACAGAGGTTATTATTTAATTGAAACATCTAAAAAAAAACAAAAAACAGAGGTTATTATTTAATCAAAACATCTAAAAAAAACAAAAAAAAAACAGGTTATTATTTAATCGACACATCTAAAAAAAATCCCAAAAAAACAGAGGTTTTTATTTAATCGACACATCGAAAAAATACCCCCAAAAAACAGAGGTTATTATTTAATCATCGACATATCTAAAAAAAAAACCCAAAAAACAGGTTATTATTTAATCGACACATCTAAAAAAAATCCCAAAAAAACAGAGGTTATTATTTAATCAACACATCTAAAAAAAAAAACCCAAAAAACAGAGGTTATTATTTAATTGAAACATCTAAAAAAAAACAAAAAACAGAGGTTATTATTTAATCAAAACATCTAAAAAAAAAACAAAAAAAAACAGGTTATTATTTAATCGACACATCTAAAAAAAATCCCAAAAAAACAGGTTTTTATTTAATCGACACATCGAAAAAAATACCCCCAAAAAACAGAGGTTATTATTTAATCATCGACATATCTAAAAAAAACCCCAAAAAACAGAGATTATTATTTAATCATTGACACATCTAAAAAAATCCCAAAAAAACAGATATTATTTAATCAACACATCTAAAAAAAACCCCAAAAAACAGAGGTTATTATTTAATTGAAACATCTAAAAAAAAAAACAAAAAACAGAGGTTATTATTTAATCGAAACATCTAAAAAATAAAACAAAAAAAAACAGGTTATTATTTAATCGACACATCTAAAAAAATCCCAAAAAAACAGGTTTTTATTTAATCGACACATCTAAAAAAAAAAAAACCAAAAAACAGAGGTTATTATTTAATCATCGACATATCTAAAAAAAACCCCAAAAAACAGGTTATTATTTAATCATTGACACATCTAAAAAAAATAAAAAACAAAACAGGTTATTATTTAATTGACACATCTAAAAAAAAAAAACAAAAAAACAGAGATTATTATTTAATCATCAACACATCTAAAAAAAATCCCAAAAAAACAGAGATTATTATTTAATCATCAACACATCTAAAAAAAATCCCAAAAAAACAGAGATTATTATTTAATCGTCGACACATCTAAAAAAATCCCCCAAAAAACAGAGAGGTTATTATTTATTCATCGACACATCTAAAAAAAAAAAACCCCCCAAAAAACAGATGTTATTATTTAATCATCAGCACATCTAAAAAAAATAAACCCCAAAAAACAGATGTTATTATTTAATCATCAACACATCTAAAAAAAATCCCAAAAAAAACAGAGGTTATTATTTAATCATCAACACATCTAAAAAAATCCCAAAAAAACAGAGGTTATCATTTAATCGAAACATCTAAAAAAAAAAATTAAAAAAAACAGGTTATTATTTCCCTTCACTTCCTGTCCAATAGGCAAAACAGGAAGTGAGAGGAAATCCCTCCAAACCCACATGGAGGAAAAATATATTGTAAATATATTTTAAAAATATTCTTCCCAAATATATTGACATATATTTGAAATGCTACGATTTTGGCCGTATTCAGTATATTTCAAAATATATTTCAGTATATATATATATATATTTCAGTAAATAAAATAAAAAAAATATATATATATATATACTGTATGTTGAAATGCGTTTTTATTACAAAATATATGAAAAATATTTTTAAAAATACATTTTCAAATATACCGTATATCTTTAAAATAACATTTAATCTACATTTTTGGAACGCATCTACACACATGTAAAAATATATGTTAAAATGACTTTTTCATATCTTAAAAAAATCTGAAGAATATATTTAAAAAAAATATATATTTTTAAAAATATTTGTCATATATTTTGTAATATATAAAGAACGCATTACAAAATATATGAAAAATATTTTTAAAAATATATACCCCCTTCCTGCCCAGGCCAATTTTCAGCTTTCAGCGCTGTCACACTTTGAATGACAATTGAGCGGTCATGCAACACTGTACCCAGATACATTTTTTATTATTATTTTTTTTGAGACAGATAGAGCTTTCTTTTGGTGGTATTTAATCACCTCTGGGGTTTTTATTTTTTGCTAAACAAACCAAAACAACTGAAAATTTTGAAGAAAAAAAAAAGTTTTTTCTTAGTCACAAAAGTGGGGAAACGTCATAATAATGGCCAAGGTTTTGGAATGGGATATCCTATAAGTTCCGAGCCCTGACCTCAACCTCACTGAACACCATTAGGAGGATGTGGAACACCATTGTGAGCCAGATCTTCTCATCCAACATCAGTTCCTGTCCTCACCAATGGGCAAAAATTCCCACAGATGCCCTGTGGAACAATCTCCCCAGAAGATTGGAGGATGCCCCAAACCATAAAGGGGACAACTCCATATCACAAATGGGCGCACATTCTCACAGACTCCATTCAAAATCTTGAGGAAAGTCTTCCCAGAAAAGTAGAGGATGTTATAGCCATAAAGGGGGGCAACTATAAATTTATTAAGATCTTTGGAGGGGAAGGGGGATTCCATTGTAACGGACATGGTTTTAGAATAGGATACCCAACAAGTTCTGAGTCCTGACTTCAACCCTACTGAACACCTTTGGGATGAAATGGAACCCCTATTGTGAGCCAGATCTTCTCATCCAACATCAGTTCCTGTCCTCACACATGGGCAAAAATTCCCACAGACGCCCTGTGGAAAAATCTCCCCAGAAGATTGGAGGATGCCCAAACCATAAAGGGGACAACTCCATATCAATGGCCATGGGGGGAATGGCCATAGTTTTAAAATAGGATACCCAACAAGCTCAGAGCTCTGACCTCATCCCTTCTGAATATGTTTGGGGTGAATAGGAAAGCCAATTGTGAGCCAAGTTTTCTCATCCAACATCAGTACCTGACCTCACAAATGGACACAAAATCCCACATAGTCTTGTGGAAAGTCTTCCCAGAAGAGTAAAGGATGTTAAAGCCACAACAAGGGAAAACTCTCTGTGGAGCGCCAGTGGAACCAGGTCTTCTCATCCAACACATGAGCACTTCTTCTGACCTCACACATGAGCACACATTTCCAAAGACTTTTCTGTGGAAAGTCTTCTCAGAAGAGCGGAGGATGTTAAAGCCAGCCAACAAGAAGGGAAAACTCTATAATAATGATCACGGTTTTGGAATGGGATATCCAACAAGCTCTCTGCCCTACCCTCAACCCTACTGAACACCACTGGGATGATGTGGAACGCCAGTGGAACCAGGTCTTCTCATCCAACCCAGTGGAACCAGGTCTTCTCATCCAAACATGAGCAGTTCTTCTGACCTCACAAATGAGCACAAATTTCCAAAGACTTTCCTATGGAAAGTCTTCTCAGAAGAGTGGAGGATGTTAAAAGCCACAAGAAGGAAAAACTCTATAATAATTATCACTAGGGTTTTGTAATGAGATATCCAACAAGCTCTGAGCTCTGCCCTCAACCCTACTGAACACCACTGGGATGATGTGGAACACCAGTGGAACCAGGTCTTCTCATCCAACCCAGTGGAACCAGGTCTTCTCATCCAACCTAGTGGAACCAGGTCTTCTCATCCAACCTAGTAGTGGAACCAGGTCTTCTCATCATCCAACACATGAGCACTTATTCTGACCTCACACAAATGAGCACAAATTTCCAAAGACTTTCCTGTAGAAAGTCTTCTCAGAAGAGTGGAGGATGTTAAAGCCACAAGAAGGGAAAACTCTATAATAATGATCACGATTTTGGAATGGGATATCCAACAAGCTCTGAGCCTTGACTTCAACCCTACTGAACACCACTGATGATGATGTGGAACGCCAGTGAAACCAGGTCTTCTCATCCAACACATGAGCACTTCTTCTGACCTCACAAGTAAGTACAAATTTCCAAAGACTTTCCTGTAGAAAGTCTTCTCAGAAGAGTGGAGGATGTTAAAGCCACAAGAAGGGAAAACTCTATAATAATGATCACGGTTTTGGAATGGGATATCCAAGAAGCTCTGAGCCTGACCTCAACCCTACTGAACACCACTGGGTTGATGTGGAACGCCAGTGGAACCAGGTCTTCTCATCCAACCCAGTGGAACCAGGTCTTCTCATCCAACACATGAGCACTTCTTCTGACCTCACAAATGAGCACAAATTTCCAAAGACTTTCCAGTGTGGAAAGTCTTCTCAGAAGAGTGGAGGATGTTAAAGCCACAAGAAGGAAAACTCTATAATAATTATCACGGTTTTGTAATGAGATATCCAACAAGCTCTGAGCCCTGACCTCAACCCTACTGAACACCACTGGGATGATGTGGAATGCCAGTTGAACCAGGTCTTCTCATCCAACACATGAGCACTTCTTCTGACCTCACAAATTAGCACAAATTTCCAAAGACTTTTACAAATTAGCACAAATTTCCAAAGACTTTCCTGTGGAAAGTCTTCTCAGAAGAGTGGAGGATGTTAAAGCCACAAGAAGGGAAAACTCTATAATAATGATCACGGTTTTGGAATGAGATAACCAACAAGCTCTGAGCCCTGCCCTCAACTCTACTGAACACCACTGGGATGATGTGGAACGCCAGTGGAACCATGTCTTCTCATTCAAAACATGAGCACTTCT